CTATCTATCTATCTATCTATCTATCTATCTATCTATCTATCTATCTATCTATCTTTTAAAGGGACGACTTCACATAACCCAGGCTGGCTTGGAACTCTCTGTGTAGATAAGTGTGGTGGCATGAAGAAAAATGTCCCCTATCGGCACAAGTGTTTGGATAGTCGGTCTACAGTTGGTTGTAGTGTTGGGGTAGGTTTGGGTAACATGCCCTTGATGAAGGGTGGGCTTTGAAGCTTCAAAACAGGGCATCACTCCCAGCCTGCCCTCTCTGCTGCCTGCTTGTGCTCGGGGCATAAGCTCTCAGCTTCCTGCTGCTCCAGGTACTGTGCTTCAGTTCTGTCATTGTGGAGTCCTGCGTGCAATCCTCACTATGCAAACCAAACCAAAACTAACCAAAGCAGACTGCTTTATCAACTTAAATCCTTTCCCTTTTAATGTATTCATTGTTTCTCCAAGTGAGAATTGAAAAATCAACTATGACTCAGATTGGATTAAACTGTTTTTGTGTGTCCTGTGAATATTTATATTTAATGTAATTTTATATTAAATGTTTATATTTCATGTAAAATATCAAATAGTTCTTTGTCGTGTGTAAAAATTGTGAGAGTCTCAACTTCAGTACCTATTAATAAAGTTTTATAGAAACATAGTTGTGTTATTTTATTTGTGTAGTCTGTATGGCTTCCTTGGGTCCAACAAGACAGAACTGAGCTGTTGTGATAAAATATAAGTGGACGTGAAAGTGTATTTGTAGGGATATAGAGAAATTCAACTGGCTGCTACAAAAGAATTATTTTATTTTGTAATTCTAGTGACCATCTTTAAAGTAAAAAACGGTGTTGTGGGAAAGTTGTTTCACAGTTGTACAGAGCAAGGTAAGGACAACATCTGGACCCAGAATCACAGCATGCGGACCTGACTGCCTCCTAACTCAGTTCTCAGGCTGACCAAGGTTTCCCTGCCTCCCTGCTGCATTGTGGGTAGCTGTGAGGGAGGGGTCTGCAGAGTGAAGGAAAGATAGAGGGTGAGGTGGAGGTGTGAAAAGACATTGGGGAGTGAGGGCTGGAGAGAGGGAAGAACTTTGGGGGGCTTTGCAGGGGAAGATGGTGACTGGGGGGCAAGGGTGAGGGTTGGTTAGACTGCAGCTGTGTGTGTAGAAGAGCTCGTGGGTGTGAGAAGAGGGTAAGGGTTGACTGATTGCATGGGGCAGAACGCAGGTGCAGTGGTTAGCCATGGAGGGGACAGTGACAGTTCCTTGCTGTCAATCTTAGCAGCCTGAGTAGTTCTCATGTTTTGGGGACTGTGATGTCCATCCTTGACGTCAACTTGACTCCATCTGGAATTAACTAAAGCCCAAGTGTCTGGGTGCACCCGTGAGGACCTTTTTCTCAATTAAATCTCGAAGTAGTAAGACCCACCTTTAGTCCGGATCTTTTGTGAAGATCTATCTTTAATGCGGGCCACACTTCTGCTGGCATCCCAAGCAAATGATGTGGAAGAAGGAAGCACACTCTATTATACTGAAGACTAGCTGAGACATTCAGCCTCATGGACTGAGTTCTTGGACTTTTCTGTTGGTAGACAGCCATTTAGCCATTGTTGTTGGATTAGCTGTACCACAGCCCATAAGTTATTCTAATAAGTCCCCCTTCCATATGTGTGTGTGTGTGTTCATTTAGTAAGTTTTATTCTCCTAGAGATTTCTGGCTAATACAGGGCAGGAAGTCTCTCCAGGGAAACCTGGTGAGGGGAGAAGCTGAGCCGGAGGATGTTGGTGGGGATGACAATCCAGGGGTGAGGCCAGCCAGGGATCCACTGGGTGTTAGTCAGAGTCACAGGGACCTGACGTGCCTCTGCTCTGGCAGCTGTGGTACATGTACCTCTCCACATGCTCAGTCAGGCCTCACACCTTCTAGCCTCTTCCAAAGCTGCGTCTTCTGGCTACAGCCACAGTGGTTTGCTCTGTGTGTGTGTGTGTGTGTGTGTGTGTGTGTGTGTGTGTGTGGCGGGGGGTGGCTGTACTTGGATGTAGGGCCTCAGGATGCCAGGAGAGGGCATGGAATGCCACGGGACAGGATTCCAGGTAGTTGTGAGGCAGCCAGCAGATACAAGTGGTGGGAATTGAACTCTGGTCTCCTCTCCCTTTCCCTCTTCCCTCCCTTGCCTCCCTTCCCTCCTTTCTCTTCCTTTTTCCCTTTTCTCCCTCCCCTTCCTCCCCCTTGCCTCAGATACTCTGAAGCTTTTCAGTTGTCTGAAGAGTAAAGTGTAAACTCAGGTTTGGTTTTTAGAAACTCCTTTTCCCTGTATCGTCTTCTAGAACCTAACCTCAGGTGGCCCAGTGAGTGAGTCTCAGCTGCATGCTAGTGTGTGGCACATGCCTCATCCCTGGGACCCCCTTGCTTTCTTCTCCTCTGTCATGTATCTATGTGTAATCCATCATGTGTGTAATCCAACAATGACAGCTTGTAAGGTGTCATCGTTCTCTGTCCCTATGGAGGAGTACAGTCAGATACTTTTTTCTTTCTCAAGATTTGTCTAAACTCTTATAAGACTGTCAGTGTAAAGTACTTTTGGACACATTTTAAAATTGACTCTTGAAAGTGACCGTGGTCATGATTACATATATATATATATATATATGTTATATATATGTTATACATATGTTATACATATGGGCTAATACAGCATTTGCAACCACCGAGGTCACAGAGTCAACTGGTTCAGCTAGAGACAGAACACTGCCAAAGGAACTTATTAGATATGTAATAAGGACATTTTATTTCAGAAAACACCGTCTTTCTTAATTGGATTATATATTGTGATTAATAAAGCAAAATTTGGAAGATGAAGATCGTGGCAGGGAGGTGTAGTAAGGACAAACTTCTGAAGAGCAGAAGATGAAGATGTCTAGAAGGGATGGATTTTATAAACATGATGCACCGGGGTGAGGATTAGATGTGACTTGTATCTGATGAGGGGATCACACTGGAGGCCATGCTTTGCCCTACCCTCCTTCACTTTTCTCAATCTTTGTCTTTTTTCTTCTTTTTCTTCTTGTCTTTCTTTTTCTTTCCGTCCCCTTCGTCTGGCTTTTCTTCGGAGGGTGGCTGCTCTGCGGACTCTGGAGTGCTGGCCTCTGCAGTCTGTGGTGCACTTGAATCAGAATCGGTGTCTCTGGATTGTGATGACCTCTTGGATGGCCTTTTCCCTTTCTGTTTTTGTTCTTTTTTGTCCGATGGGGGCTCCCCAGCCTTCTGTATCAGAAAGCCGCCTTCATTCTGCCTTATTACTATCCCGTCTTGGTTCTTCCTTATCAGGGACTCGAGTCTTCTGAAAAGGAATGGCTCTTCATAACATATGGTCTGGGCGCCAAGTTCACTGTCGCTTCTTTGGTCAAACCTTACTTGAGAATCTTGTCTTCGTGGAGGATGCTGCTGAGGAGGGGTGGAAGGAGCCGGTTCTTCACACCATATGGGTTCACGTCTCTTCGGGCAGCAGTACTCGCACTGGCATCTTCTCCACGCCTTACAGCACTTCAGTGCGCTCCCGCAGGGGTCCTGGAAGGTGACGCTCCCGCCGTGTCTGATCACCTGTCCTTTGCAATCTGGGAACAGAGCTGAGCACACAGCAAGAGTGTGTGATTCCGGCGTCCAGCATTGCCGTTCCCACTCCCCCAAGGCTGACTTCCTTTTATGTCTTAGAATCAACAAACTGAGGACAACTGGAAATCTTGCCCCAAAATATACAATGGTGGAAGTCACATAGTGCAGATATTAATGTGATATCAATGTAGGTATTAGACAACAGATATTGATAGCTAATAACAGGATGTAGATACTATTGATACAATTCTGGACTCTCTCCAGTGAACTGGGAGACCAGTGAATGACAGGTAAAGTGTGATGGGGCGGAAGGTGCCACTTGCTCAGTAGGCTAGGGTCATGACTAGTGACTAGGAGGAGGATGGGTCTGTAGCTGGGAAGAAGTTAGAAGAGAACTACTGTGGGAAGAAATAATTATCTCTTAAGACAGAAGGAAACACAAATGTGCTGTCCCCGTTGACAGAAGGCATAATTCATCAAGTACAAGTCACGGTGCGTCTAGCTGGTAACCATTAGCTGGTAACCGCTAACTTGATAACCATTAACTGGTAACCATTAGCTGGTAACTGCTAACTGATAACCATTAGCTGGTAACCGCTAACCGCTCACCAGCTCTCAGCACCCGCTTTCCATACATTCTTAGACTTGCTTCTTCTGTGTTAAGTGTGTGCTTTTGGTGAAAGTGCACCATGTCTACGGAGTGCTCTTGGAGGACAGGGGACAGCGACAGATCCCCTAGACCTGGTGTTATGGACAGCTGTGAGCCACCATGTCAAAATTTCAGATCCACTCAATTATGTGCGTGTAAGCCAGCCCTCCTGTGCAGTGACTTCTGTGTGATCTCATGAAACCTATGAATTCTGTGTTTTTGTCTAAGCTACCAAAGTAAATCGTGAGGAGCTTTGCTGGGCAAGAAAGGCTCAGTGTGCACAGGGCTCAGTACCTCCTGCCTGTCGAAGTCATTTAGAGGGCAACAAAAAGGAGGTGAGGCTCCATTATGACCAGAGGATCCTCCACTTACAGAAAAAGAGGAATTCTTATGAACTACTGGGGTTCTGAATGTGTTTTCTTCATGTTCTGCTGGCAGTGAGTGAGGAGATGCTCACTGGGAGCTCGGAAAGTGCTCTGAGGAGGGGGGTCAGGTATTCCTGCTCTTTTGTAGGCCTTCAACTCCCCTGCAGCAATATCCCTGAAGCAGACACCGGAAGCCTTAGGTTTTGAAAAAGAGGAATGTTTGATGTGACCGTTAACATTATATGGCTCAATTTTGTGAGTAGACCTGTCCAGTGCAGAAAGTATGAGGACCCTGTAATCTATCTGAGAATAGTTAAGGAACTTACCATAGGAGGCAGTGCTAAAAAACAAAATGCAGAAGAGACATCATCAGAGGGGATTATCCAAGAGAACCCACCTTCCAATAGCTTTTCTTTAGAAAATTATCTCTTTTATTTTTGTATATATTTTGTTTATTTGTTTATGTCCATGAAAGAGCATGCCATGTATACAGGTGCCCTAGGAGGCCTGCTGGAGTTGCAGCTCCCGTGGGTGCTGGGAACTGAACTCATGACTTCAGGAAGAGCAGCAAGTGTTCTTGAGCACCGCTTTCTTTCCATTCCTCTCTCAGAGAGGAAGGCCAGCCACAGCTGTGCCCACAGAGAAGAGGACTTTGTCTCACTCAGTAAGATTCACATCCTCAGATTATCGGTGTCAGTTCTGCCCAAGTTTAACAAAACCTGACAGGAGTTTTTGTTCGAAGTGAAAACCGTCAGTTAGCCAGAGCAGAGCTCAGAGACAGCAGACACCAAGCTATGACAGACATTGAGTGGGTCTCAGCTTTCCTAACGCTGTGACCCTTTAATACAGTTCCTCATGTGGTAACCCCACCCCCAACCATAAGATTACTTTTATAATTGCACTCTGTGACTATTAGGAGTTGCAATGTAAATATTTCTTGGAGATAGAGGTTTGCCAAAGGGGTCTCAACCCACAGGCTGAGAATCGCTGGCCTACATGTTGGTGGGTTGACCACCAGAGTGTTTTTCCACAGTAACTGAATCAGAGACAAGATACTGTGTTTTACTCCAAAAGGAAAATAGACTAGAAGGACCCAACACTGAAACAACAGTGAGCCACTGAAGGCAAAATGACTCAGATAGAAGAATATTCAACTCAAGAGGATCTGGGAACAGAAACTCCAGGCTGTTAATCACAGAAGGGGAGGCAAGAGAGTCATGCAAACTTACTGAGTTCCCAGGAACTGTCAACTGAAAGAGATAAAGGCAAAAGAAAGTCATTAGTGGCTGTTGGCTTTTCCTTCCTTCCCAAGCCCCAGACCTCTGTGTTGGATGGGATATCGTCACTGCTATCTGAGCCCAGTGGGCTAAATGTCGGACGCTTTGCTTTCCTGTGCATTTACAACTCAGTTCTTTGGCATACCAGGCCATGCTCTCTATTTTCATGTTAATCATTTTTTCAGTTATGATTTAAAATGGGAGATCTTTAGGCCAAATTTCAAGAGCTTGGCTTAACTTCAAGCCCCTGTCTCGGAAAATACTGAAGGCTGAGGGACGGGAGAGACATGGTCAAGGGAGGCAGACAGATAAAAAGATCTAAACTATACTAGTGAATGCAGAGGGGAAGGGATGGAAAGTCATTTGCCACTGAGCTCAGTGGTTGGATGCCTAAAGTACCCGTGTAAGTGGAGCCCAGGATGCCACCCACACCAGGGGAAGCCTGAGAGAGGACACCTGGACTTACCTCAAGCCTTTCAGTGCGAACCCTTAAAAGGAAAAAGGGAACAAATTAGTTTTAAAATAAATTATGTACCAGGGTCCCATTAAAACCCCCTTTGTAAGGCCAGAGAGGGGATTTAGTGAGGGATTCTATCCCCAAGCATGTGTTATCCTCTTGTTAGCTGATCTGAACCCTATGTTAACAACTCAGGTACTCAGGGCATCTTTATGGCCTGTGGAATCAGTTACAGGAGTAATGGCCATTCTTTTCTTCACAAAATGAAATTAAAAAACAAAAACACAAAACAGATTCTTAACCCGGTCAGAGCACCCTTACTTTCAGGATGCTGACAGGTTCCTGTCTCAAGCCTCTTCTTCATGGCATTTTCTTTTAATCGCCTTCGTTTTACCTATCTCTGTGTTCTACCACACAGCACAGAAAGCTCATTTGTAATCATGTCTCTAAACATTGGCTACAGTTTCTATTTTTGACAATCTCTGGGGTTTAGTGAGAATTCTCAAGCTGGCTTGGGAAGAACTTGTGGTAGAAGAAATATTCTAGATATTAAGATAATAGCAGAAAGAAAACGATTTTTATTTTTAAAGATAACCAATTATGTGTGTGTGTATGTATTGTATGTGTGCATATATGCATGTATGTGTGTATATGCATGTGTGCTTGGGCCTTCTAAAACCTTGTGATGCACCATGTAGGTTTTGGGGACTGAACTTGGATCGCCAGTCTCAGTGGTAAGCTCCTTCATCTGTGTAGTCAGCTTGGTTATTTTCCTTCAGCAGGTCCTGGAAGGTTCCCATTGCTTGTTTGCTTTACTTCAAAACTGTTTGAATTGTCTTTAAGACCCCCCCCTCTTTTTCTCTCTCTTTTTGTGGTAAGCTCTGTCATGATTGAGGAAAAAATCAATAACCCCCACAGCTTCATAAAAACCTTGGGCTACTAGACCCACACAGCAGTAGGAATTGATCCACAGCCAAGAGCACACAGTCGTGAGCAATTTCATCCAAGATTAGAGGTCACCAGCAATGTCAATGGTTCCTCTTTGTTCAAAGGGCATTTAGGGGAGGGGTTGAAATACAATCACTTGATAAAAGTGTTGTCTTGCCGGGCGGTGGTGGCGCACGCCTTTAATCCCAGCACTTGGGAGGTAGAGGCAGGTGGATTTCTGAGTTCGAGGCCAGCCTGGTCTACAGAGTGAGTTCCAGGACAGCCAGGGCTACACAGAGAAACCCTGTCTCGAAAAACCAAAAAAAAAAAAAAAAAAAAAGTGTTGTCTTTGTGGGGCTAGGGAGGTTACAGAAAGCAGCTGAGAGATGGATAAATTCACTGGAGAATGTCACCCAGGGTGGGCTCATTGTATCCCCAGTGCCCTAAACAAAATCTGTCTTAATGCTAATAGGCAAGGGCTTTATATTATTTTTTTAAAAACCCAGTTCTCTCACAACTACCTGGTGCTTGTGAGAGTTTATGTCTACCCAGAGAGCATCCGGCACTGCACTGGAGGACTAACTAACCACTTCTGCTATCAGCAATTCCTTGTGTGAAAGTAGGTGTTGCTGGGAAGAGACCGATACTGACTTCCCAGCTAATGGGTGGGGACTGTCACCTTGACCTGACTCTGAAAAGCTAAGACTGTGCTGGAGAGACAGACGTGGAGGGAAAGGGGCAACAAACAAACAAACAAACAAACAACCCCCACAGGTTTCTTAGGAAGTGGTGGGGAAAACAGATTCCGCATTTAGTGGTGAAAGATTTCCTTGAAAATTCTCCAGCAGGAATTATGATAAAGGGGGCGCTGGAGTCGCACACCGTACACTCTGTTCAGTGTGTTTCTAGAAATGGAATTATGAGGATCCTGAACTGTAATGGACCTCATGGCACATGGCACGTTTGTTTCTCTAAAGGGCTAGTGATGTCTGGAAGCAGGATCTCTGTCAAAAGTCTCAGCACTAATTGTCCTTAAAGCAACCACCAGCATGCAGGGCCTCGATGTGCACTTCAGTGCATGCATGCTCGTCTGTAGTGTGCTCTCTGTTCCCTCACTGCTGGCTAGACACTGTGCACATTAAATAGTAAATTCTTCAGTGCCTAAGGGACTCTAGACAACAGAGAAGGATAGGGGTTGGAAAACACGTATCCAGAATCTTTTACTTCTGGGAAAGGAGTAATGCAGAAATAGAGGAATTGTATTTAACTTACCAAAAGGCTTAGGAAACTGGCAGGACAACAGGAAACAAAAAACATATTAGCAGAAGATTTGAAACAAGGCTACAGGCTCTTTTTTCCCCCAAGAGCTAATCAGTGAACTTTTGCTGACACCAGACCTCCCCCTGGGGAAGCTCTCTATGGTAAGAGGCATGAGCATTTTCTAAAGGAAGGGACTGGCCTGATGTGACTGGCTGCCGTGTGTTCAGTCCCCTTTCCCATCGTATCCACCAGCCTTCCCCTCCTCCAGTCTGTGTGCCCTGCACTCCTCCTGGCTATCTAAACGCCTGGTGTATCCTCCATAGCTTTTCTTCCTGAGCATGGGAAGTTCATGTTTCATGTCTGGGGAGATGGCTCAATGGTTAAGAGCACTGGCTGCTCTTCCAGAGGACCCATTCCCAGTACCCACAGAGCAGTTCACAACCATTCGTAACTCCACCCTCAGGGGACCTAAACCCTCACAAAGACATACATGCAGGCAAAACATCTACATACATAAATGATAAATACATGAATAATTTACAAAAAAGGGAGAAAAGCTATTAGGAAAAAAGTTGTTTGGGAGATTTTTTCCCTCCCGCTCAATCTTTCTGTCAAGTGTTTACCTTTCTACTGAGTAATTAGTAACGGATTTCTCAGTAAGAGGATGAGGATGGGGTATTCAAAAATAGAAGCATTCCTCCGAATAGAGATCGGTTAGGAACAGTATTCTCTCCATTTTGGGATCCTTAGTTCTACCAGATTTATGAAAAGAGCACTTACAGATAGGTTCTGCCACATGGGCTAAAAATCTAAACACAGACAGTTAGTGTGGGCTGACATGGGCAACAGAAATGACTTCTAAGAAAAACTTCTTTCCAGACAGGCATTTTGAGCTGAGAAGAGCCCCACCCCTTACCCCTCCCCTTACCCCTCCCCTTACCCCACCCCTTATCCCACCCCTTACCCCACCCCTTACCCCACCCCTTACCCCACCCCTTACCCCACCCGCTCCCAGCCCTCCTTGCCGAGCACCTGCAGTATATTGTTTTCCTAACACTAAAGGACATTGTGAAAGGGTGAAGAGGCATTCCCCTTTGTTATCCACTTTGGTGACCAGTTTCTCTAGAAAATGAAATACTGTAGCAGCTGGGCAAACTTCCTTTCTCTGACTTTTGCTCCCCCCCACCCCCCGTTTTGTTATTTCATCTCTCAAGACTCTTCCTGCTTTGCCTGCCATCTTCCCTGTGGACTTACTTAGTTGAAAGTTTGCTCTCTCGAGTTGGGAGAGCTTACACAGTTCTGACTTCCGTTTGCCAGTTTCCTTCTACTCAGCCAAAGGGGGCGGGACTGAACTTTGTGAATTGCGGGAACACTTTAGTGCAGCTTGGCTGGGGAGCCTGCCGCAGCTCTATTTATAACCGCTCCCAACCTCTGAGCATTGTGTGCTATGGTGTGCGTGTTGGAGTCAGAGGGCAACTTGTAGGTGCTGGTTCTACTCATCAGTCCTCCGGAGTCTTCCTAGGTACATAAAAACATTTACTTACCAGGGTAATAGTGTCGTGCTGATGCTTCCACTAGTCATTGTACCCTATCCTTTAACAATCAGGAGATTCTGTTCCTGGGAGGCCCTGTGATCTATCCTATCATGGAGACAGACAAGCCTGCACTGAACAGGTGCCGTACTTATCAAACAGGAATTTTCTTAGAATTGCAGTAGTTGGTGAAGCCAGTGCGGAGTGAGAGAGCCTTCCTCACAGTCATCTTCAGTGAGGGTAGAAATACACTCTCAATGTTCTCTTACGACGTCATAAGGGTCAGATGTAGGAGCAGGAGACCACTTTTTGCCTTTTTCCCAACCTCTTTGGACATGAGACATGTCAGAAACATTTAAATGCAGGAGTGAATTCTTGGAGGGCTGACCCTTTCTCAAGCTGGGTCCCTGTCTGGAGCCTGGAGCTCAGTAGGACTTTTTTTTTTTTTTGTATTGTAAATAAGTAACTTCTCAGTTGACTTAACTTTGCTATACACAGTGGCCCGTCAACCACTCTTCCACCATTATGAATCAGTCATGAGCAAACAACGTGATGTAAAATGTTCAAAAGTAGAATACCTGACTTCAAGCCACCTCCAGGCAGGTGGCTCACTGTCTGACTTGTCGTCTGTAGGGTCTGTGTTTTCTAAGTATATTTACCAGTGACTTTAGCGGGAACTACTCAATGTAAAACTAAAGAGACTCAAAGTCTGGCATGTCGGGAAACTCAGCTGAAGAGGCGAGCAGACACGGCATTTACCTGATTGCTTTTTCACTGTGAAAAAGAAAGAAGTAAAGAGATGAGAACACAGTTTCTGGGTGAGGAACACACAGTACTTCTTAAACTCTGCAACATACTCTAGCAAAAGGGCTGAGTGGGATAGCCTCAGTCTCTGCTCTCTTAACTGAGGCACCTTTTTTGGAGATAGGTAAGCCACCAGAAGGGGCTATTTTCTTTCCTGATTTTCTCCCTAGAAGTTTGAAAATTAACTGTTAGATCCTTCTCATCCCTATTCTTTCTTATCCTTCTTTCTATTCGCCTCTTTGCAAAGACTGTGTTCAGTTGGGGCCATTCTACTGCGGCTCAGTTGCTTTTAAGCTCATTTTAGAAAACACAGTCCCCCCCTCCATATGCATAAGTATCTCATGGTGGGGGGGTGTGGACATTATTTCCCAGCATCTGGCTTAAGAGCCAGCTAAGGAGATTTAGTTTGAATAACTGTGGTAGATTATGTTAGCTCATAATTTCCTCCCGTGTATGTTAGCAGTAAGAACTTCTCGGATGCAATACATCGGCATATGTTAAGTACCAAGTTCACTGCTTGGCACAAGGTAAGTACCAAGATGGTACAGATACCATCATGGCACCACAGCGGGCACTAAGCAGTTTCCTTATCACCTCTGTCTGGCTGCAGAGAGCTGAGAGCAAGCTGCTGGGAACAGGGGTAAGGAAACCAGAAGCTGGAGATCGAGGGGTGCTGAAAAGCTAGTAGACCATAGAAATGATGGGCCTTGGTACAATCACACTCTGAATACCAGGACTCAACTGCAGGAAGTCAATGACAATACAATTAAGGAAAACAAAATGCAGGACTTACGTATTATAGGTGGTCCATGCTTTGCTTTAATGAAAAAGACACATTAGGATAGTGAGTTATTTTTGTTTTGTTTTTTTAATAGAATAGAAATATTGGTTCATGAGTGTATTGTCTAGATGAGTCTTGCAAACTGACTAAGAAGGGGAGGTTCAGCAGGGTAGAGAGAAGGATCCAAGGCTAGGGACGGGCCTCACGCTTCATCTCCCATCTGGTCTCTGGATAAGTTAGGAAATGGCCCAGATTGTAGGAGTTGGGCTACCTTGATCATTTGATGCTCACGTGTGGGCATCAGGGGACAACTTGTGGGAGCTGGTTCTCTCTCGTTACCATGTGTATACTGGAGATGGAATTCAGGCCATCTGGATTGGCAGCAAGAGCCTTCACTGGCTGAGCCTCTTTCTTAAGTGAGAATGCAATTGTACAGACACTGAAAATTATCCTGAGACTGCTCGTGGGCTTTTGTTCATAGACAAAGCCACCCTGTTTTGTTTGTGGAGAGCTAAGCAGCAGGATTACTAGACAAGTCTGAATTTATGCTGTCTCAGGCTCGGTGGTAGCATAGCTGTGAGTCACCCCTGCTTCTTGTGAGTTCAAGGCTGCAAGGGTCTTTGAGGCAGTGGCTTTGCCAGCATCTGAGAACTGCACCTTTGACTGGAAAGGGCTTCAGTTCTGGAAGTGGGATGCCTTCAAATCTTGCTAAGGACAGAGGAAACCATAGCAGGGCTGTTCTTATTGCTAGTGGGTGAGGAGGAATTGCCCCCTCTTAGAAACACAGAAGGTTTGATTTTCTTCAGGTGCTCCGTAATTCCAGGGCTGCCTCCTTAGGTGCTATTGCTTTATTCTCTTTCTTGTTGTTTTGAGAAACACAAAACAAAAACATATTCAAACTAATGGCCAAGGATGATGGTCGGCACATATAGTAGAACATTTTTCACACTCATGTGCTTTGAGAAAAAACGGTAGAGACAAGGAACAGCCTTTGAACATGGTCTCCACTTGCTGTTTAGGACAGTCGCTCTTGTGAGTCAGATGTGGGTATTCAGGAACTAAAATAGTCTGCTTGCTTTACAGTTTGTGTGCACTTTTAAGCTTGCTTGTTTTAATTTATATGACTCATCTTTAAAAAAACTTTATCTCTAAATATCACTTAATACTGTAGTTTGAGGTTTCCCTCAGTCATACAAATATAGAAACATATGCTCAATACATTTTAAATTACTAACACTTTCATACACCTTTGTATGTGAGTTCTTACACATATGCACAAGGTTTTTCTTTGGAATTTACATCCTAAAGTGGAATTCAGAGATTCTGCATGGACTAGTTTTTTCAGAGGTGGGTAGTTAAGGTCTTGCTCATTTTAGATTTGGGTTTATACTCTTCTTGCCTCAGTCTCTCTCCTCTCTCCCTCCTCACTTGGTTTTTCAAGACAGGGCTTCTCTGTGTAGCCCTGGCTATCTTGGAACTCTGTAGACCAGACTGGCTTTGAACTCAGAGACCCACCTGCCTGGGGAGTGCTGGGATCACAGACATGTACCACCACTCTTGATGCATAGATTTAGTTTAAGAATTAATTGTTGGGCATTCTGACTAAATGAACTGAGTTATCTCCTGGGCTCCCAAGGCTCTCTCTGTCTCTGTCTTTCCTTTTTCTTTCTTATAGATCTGTCTTCTCTTTCTCCAAACTATCTGTAGTATATGTTTTGCTTTTTTTTTAGATATTTATTTATTTATTTTTATTTATTTTATTGATGAGTACACTGTAACTGTCTTCAGACACACCAGAAAAGGGCATCGGATCCCATTACAGATGGTTGTGAGCCACCATGTGGTTGCTGGGATTTGAACTCAGGACCTCTGGAAGAGCAGTCAGTGCTCTTAACCGCTGAGCCATCTCTCCAGCCCATGTTTTGTTAAATATTTTTTATTACAGTCTTTTGTCACCCATGAGGAAGCACGTGACCTAGAACTCAGCCTTCTGTGTCTGTCTCATGCTCTACTGTGCTGTGTCCATTTCTTTACCCTTCAGGAAATGCACTACCATTAGATTGATCTAGAATCACCCAGGAGACACCCCTTTGGGTATATCTATTATGAGAGTGTTTCCAGTTAGCTTCCTTTTTTGTAATCAGTGTGTGGGTATGTGCACCTGAGAGCTGGAACTCTTGGAGGCCAGAGCCATTGGATAACCCGGAGCTGGAGTTGCAGGTGGTTGTGAGCCCCTGGATTTGTGTATTGGGAATCAAAGTCTGGTCTGCTGAAAGAGCAGCATACACTCTCTTTTTAAGTTAAAAGAGGCAGAGCCTGCCAGCCCCACAGAGAGGATTTTTTGAGGAAAGAAGACCATCCTGAATGAGGATGGCACCTCCCATGGGCTAGAGTCTCGAACTGAATGTGGAGGGACAAAGGAGAAAGTGTGTGGTCAGTAGCATTCATTTCTACTTCCTGACTGCAGATGCAATGTGCTGTATGGACCTACCCTCCTCACACCTGCTGCCCTGACATGCTGGACCTACCCTCCTCACACCTGCTGCCCTGACATGCTGGACCTACCTTCCTCACACCTGCTACCCTGACATGCTGGACCCCCTCACACCTGCTGCCCTGACATGCTGAATCACCTTCAAATCATGAGCCAAAATAAACTTCCTTCCTGAAGATGCTTTCTGTCACAAGAACAAGAAAAAGTGACAGACACAAGGGCCTGTGCCTAGTCGGGAACATCTGGAGTTTCCAGTTCTGTCCCTGGGCCTGTACTGACAATGTGTACATTATGCAGTGAGAATATTTAGCTGACCTGAGGGCATGAGAGGTATATTTGGATGGGGACTTCAGAGAAACACTAGCTCAGCCTAGGTCAGAAGCATCAATCCCAATCCATCAAACCAGCCCTTTGTCCTAACGTGGAAATCACTCAAATTCTACTATTAGAAACTACTCGGAGTGTGCCTGGGTGGAAGTGGAGTATGCATGTGTTTGCAGTCTACCAGACAGATCCAGATATGTCTCATTTTACCCCAAACACGGGTTAACTGAGCTGCTTTGGCCGCCCTCAGGCCTGCCCTCCCCCCCCCACCCCCCATGAATGAATAGATTGTGTGGAGCAGCCTCTTCAGACCCCGGAATGTCCTGACTGCCCTCCCCCACACCCATTCACCACAGACATCAGGTTCTCTTCGACACACTAGTTTATGGTACCCGCTGAGCAGTTTGAGTTTTTGATAAGACCTTGACAAGACCTTTGTGTTTGAAGTCCAGGGTGGGGATCCTGGGGGATCCTGGAGTGGGCTTATGAGATTGCTCTGAATTCTGGCTCATCCCCTTATCGTCAACTTTTGACCTGCTTTAAGCAGAGTCTCAGGTGCCTTGAAAATGCCTCACTACTAACAGAAGCAGTGGGAAGCCCATCTCTGGGAACCCACAGGCCTCCCCCCGCCCCCCGCCCCCCCGTAAAGCCTGGAAACAAATGGATGAGCATAACAGGAATCTCGATTTTAGCATTTACAAGTAGAACCAGCTAAGCCATGAAAACCCCCACATATCCCAACAGAAAAGTAAAAAACTTACTTCCAGTTCTCTGTGTAAGTACTAAGAGAGGGAGAGAGAGAGAAAAAAGAGAAATCTGTTTAATTTTCCTTAAGTGGAACTAACATAGAGTTATCTAATGGGCTTGCTGGTGTCTGTTAGGGGAATACTCAGCTAAGACCCAAGGGTACTTTCAGAGGGACTCTATGTACATCAATCCCAGTTCAAATTTATATGCAGAGTTCAACAGTGACAAGGAAGAGGTAGACCACCCTTCAGACCTCCTTCATTATAGACTTGAGCAACTATGGGTCACAGACTTTTGAGAGATGGCTGGGCTGGGGTTTTATGGTTCCTTTTTATCTCTGAGGAACACCCCACACTTAACACCTGTTATTTTTTTCTCAAAAAAAAAAATTGTTCTGGCTTCTGCTACTTCGAAGCTAAACTTTTGTTGACAAACGCTAGCTCACTACTTCTCTGTCTCTTATTCTGCAGATATGTGCAGTGCAGGGAAGCTGGGCAGGAAGGTGGGAAGAGGAGGAAGGACTCAGATCACATCAGCAGAGGTGAAGAGAATCAAACCAAAGCACAGTACTCAGTACTTACATACGGGCACGGTCGGCTCAGATGGGCCTGAAAAGCAAGAGCAGCTGTGAGTGGCTGGCTCGAGTTTCCTTGGAGGACGTGTGTGTGTGTGTGTGTGTGTGTGTGTGTGTGTGTGTGTATAGGCTTGCATTAGGTCCCACCACTGTACGTAGGGGTAATTATTTGGTTGCAGTTTCCACTGTACAGGGATTAGTAATGGCTCATTCATAGGACTTAAAAAAGTTAGTTCTTATAGGGGGGAGCATATCTGAGGCCACATGAGGAGAGTTCCCTGCACAGGGAGGAGCTAGATGACACAGGGAAAGGAAATAGGGCTGAGGAGGTGGGGTGTGTGGGGATGGGGAGGGGATCACAAATCTTGGATGCGTGCACCTGGGGTAGAAATGGCAGGGCATACACAGAGATCAATGAGGAAGGGGAACAGAAAATCATGCAGAACTCACAGCTAGGCATCAGTGCTGGTTGACAAGGATTACAAAGTTGACAAAGTTGACAAGCGTTACACGGATTACAAGGTTGACAACCTGTGGGACAGAGAATGGGCTTAGCACTTTCATCTCCCACTGTTTTATCTGCACAGGTGAAGGGAGGTGACCCAGGCAAGGGGAAGCGGGTGGAGTGGGGGGATGGGAGCGGGATCACACTTCTCCTGTCTGGGCACAGGGTAGAAGTGGGCAGGGCTGGCTCAGAGAAAGAAACAGAAAATGAAGCAGAACTCACAGCTAGGCTTCAGAGATAGCTGTTGACAACCGGTGAGTCAGAGACTGGGTTTTAAAGCACTTACCTTTTCCCACTGTTTTGTTGGCAGAGGTGGAGCTAGACGACACAGGCCGTGGGAAGGCGTGGGGTGGGGTAGGGGATCACACATCTTGTGTGTCTGCACACAGTGTAGAAATGGGCAGGGTGGGCTCAGAGAATAACGAAGGAAAGCAGGAGAAAATCATGGAGAACTCACAGCTTGGCTTGAGTGATAGCTGTTGAAAACCTGTGAGACAGAGAATTGACTTAGCACTTCCTTCTCCCACTGTTTTGTCTGCAGAATGGAGGCAACGGGAACGGGTGGAGTGGGGGTAGAATCACACATCTTGTGTGTCTGCACACAGCATAGAAATGGGCAGGGCCTGCTTATAGAGCAATAACAAAGGAAAACAGGAGAAAATCAAACAGAACTTACAGCTTGGCTTCAATGATGGGGGTTGACAACCTGTGAGACAGAGATTGGGTTTAGCACTTCCTTCTCCCACTGTTTTGCCTTGTTTAGAACTTCTCCTAACTACCCTCTGGTCCTGCCTGGACTCTTGTGTGAGTCAGTAGGCCTGAAGGGACCCAGTAACATCATGACTTCTGATACAGAAGGTAATCAAAGTCTTATATTCCCTAAAGACATGGACCTCAGGACTGTTCAGGAAAGGGAGGTTGTGGGGCCCCAGAGTTGGACTTGCTGATGGAAACTGGAGTTGGTCCATTTGAGAAGAAGAGAAAATTATTTGCTTTTTATTTTTCCTTATTCATTTTTTCCTTTGTTTTATGTTTATATTTTAAAATTTATTTATTTAGCATGTATATATGGTGTGTGTGTGTGTCTGTGGTGTGTATGGTGTATGTGTGTGTATATGCAGGTGGTGCGTGTGTATGTCTGTGGTGTGTGTGTGTGTGCACGGTGTGTATACACACTTGACTAGAGGTCAGAGGTGGGCTTCTGGAGTTGGCTCTCTGCTTCCTCCTTGTGGTTTCAGGATTGGGCTCACCAGTAAGGCCTGTGGGACAGCATTTCTAACCTGACCCGAATTTTGGATTTTAAATTTCGGGGAAATTTTCTCCTTGTTATTTATTTTACATAAGTCAATTCTTCAATTTTTCCCCATAAAATTATTAAAAAGTCAAAAGCTTATGCTGATGTAAAAGCAGGTGCCAAGGAAACAGCAGCTTTTGACTGTGAGATTTCCTACATGGTGAGGGAAATTCTTAATTATAGTCTCAAATGGGGACAGACAGAGCCAGGCCAGGGTGTCCTCACAGTGCTGGTTATGTAAGCATCTTATTCCCTTTTTCCTGTCAGTTTTCCCTTTTCTGGAATCAGTCTTTTGTTGATACTTTACATGTAAAGTTTTAGAACCCTTTATGTTTCTGCTCTTTCTATGTCTGTACATCAGTAAAATCTAGACTTTATAGTAGAGTGTTAATAACCCAGGGAGACTTTGATCAGGGATTCCCCAGTGGCCAGATAAAGACTGTTGGAGCCTAGTGTTCAGGGCTTAGGGGCTGGGATGGGTATAGACTTACATATGTCCACTGGTATTACAGCTGAAAGACAATTAGAAAAGCTGATTACTACCTTGCTTCCTTTACAGAGAGAGGCTCGGAGACAGGGTCACTTAGAGCCTGGGACCTCCTGTTTCCATTACCTGAGCACTGGGATTACACATGTCGCGGAACACCAAGCTTACTTATACTCTGGTTCTTCCCCCTCTGCTCCTCCCCCACCCCGGTCCCCACATGGGGGCAGAACTTTGGGCTTCACATGCTGCCACTCCTCTCCTAGCCCTTTTCTTTTACATTTTTGCTTTTTATTTTGAGACCAGGTCATATTAGTTTGCCCAGGCTTGCCTTTCCCTTAGTCTGTAGCCCAAGCTAGGCCATGAAGCAGGCAATACTGTAGCCCTGCCTCCTAAGTAGCTAGGCTAGCAGCCATATTTTGGTTTCCTTCTTGCTGGGAACTTTCCTGGTGATACAGATATCGCTAAGGCATTTAAACACTTTTAGAGAACTGGTGGCCACTTTGTGGAATTCCAGCCAGTGGAAAAGCAGAAGGCTCAGAAAATGGTAATTTTTAGTTCCTCTGTTAGAGCACCAGATCTGATAGGAATTGTGGGACTCTGAGAAGGCACAGAGGGGCAAACAATACACTGATCACTTGTGGAGACGGGCCAGCTGCAAGACAGGAATATCCTTTTTCTTTCATTCATTTCTCCCTTTTGTATACTTCCCCAATTCAGAAGTTATTGAACCACAGGGACACATTTTCCTTTGATCTTCAGTTTCCAAGTCAGTCAAGGAACAGTCTAAAGCCTGTTAGTAACCTAGAACTGGAGCTAGAGT